CGAAATTATCTACACGGGCGAAAAGTCATAGACAACGAACTTCGGAGCCTAAAGGATGCCTAGTTTACTAGGGAAGCATAAAATTAAAACAAATGGGCCTGAAATCTAATCGAGAATGTTTTAAAATTGGTATGGACAATCTGGATGGGGTGAATGAATAGGCTTCCAGAAATGCTTATTCTGGTGTTAAAATGTTAGAAAAACGCTATTTAAGAAGGGGACGCTATTTTGGATTTATGAGAAGAGGGAACGGGGCGCGGGAAGGCCGGGCAAAGATAGCAGCGAGGGAGAAGGAAGAATCTGAGTGCGCCACATTGCTGTTTGGGAGCACATGATGCGCAACTGTTTTCAGATATCCTTTTAATAATAGTAAGGCTGTTGAGATTACAGTAAATCCGGGTTGCCAGAAGACAAGCCCATGCAAACCCCGGCAGTACGCCCCAACTTCCTGCGCATGATTATCGCTGCTCTCGTCGTTATCAGTGTTGTGGAGGACAAAAAAAAATGGCGCATTTAGGTCCGTTGCTGGGATTAACTCTCTTTAATCCGTGTGCAGTTGAATTTGTTGAGAAGTTGCTCCATGCACTGACAGGAAGGAATTCTGTTGATTGCGCAGTCTCGATCGCTCTCGCCTGCACCTGCCTCCCTACCGGCGTTGATTCGCTCCTTAGATAAGGATGAGTGCATCGCTGCTGGCATATGCCGTGCTCGCAGTTCAGCTGTTTGCACGGTAACTTTGATAATTTTAACAAAAAAAAAGCAGTCTCTCTGCCTGCTTGCTGAGCTGCTTATCGGCGATCCTGGCGTTCACTTCCCTTCATCTCTCGGGCAGGGAGAGGAGTGCCAGAAATGTCACATTCTTTTCTGGCCCTGCTGAGCAGCTCGCACCGAACACCAGTGCTGCTCCGTCTGCAACAGCCATCGCTCGCAGCTGTGCAGTGCAAGAAGAGTTTCTGAAGTGTTTTGCGCAAAGGTGCATTGCTGGAAAGGGGGAGCGGGGAAGGAGAAGAGGAGGGAGATGGAAGGGGGCGCATGGCGCCATCTGTTCCTCCCGGACCAGTGACGACCTGTTTCTGTTTTTGAATGCCATCAGTGCTCGAAAGAAAACTGTGTGTAGTGTCACTGTGTGATAACGGTGATTATGATGATGTCCACTGTTGACGGTGACCACTTCTGTGACCTTATTTCAGTCAGCTACTGTTAATCACTGTTGATTTTATCGCGTAATATATATTTATATACATATGTGTATATAGATGCACATGTATATACATGTATTTGTATGGACGGATCCAGAGCGGTGGGGGACGGAAGGAAGAGGGGAGAACCCCCCAGCGGCAGAGGCACCAGTGCTGCAACTAAAGCTAAAACTAAAGTGAACTAAAGCCTAAAATAATTCTGAACTAAAGTAGCTCTAAGTAACAGTGTTGCAGCTCTATTTCTAGCTACGCGTTTTTGCTTATATTCAAATTGCAAAAACGCATATTGCGACAACCCTGTCTGTGTGTTTGTATGTTTGTGTGTTTTCGTCTGTCCGGGTATTTCAACTCGGCAACCAAGCAAGCTCTGGCGCCAAAATTTTGCTGGTGGATTCCTCGTCCAAGTGCCACCCTAGGACAGCGGTACCAACCCTCACGCAATTCTGGGTCCCGCGTACGAGAGGACAAAAGTTTTAGCGAGAAAATTGCTGACTTGGGAACGAGAAGAGCTAGGAAGCTGAAATTTTGAGATTATGTTCCCTGTTCACATA